TCCTCTCCTCCGCTGCGAGGTCGAGCGGCAGCGGCGGCGGCGGCTACTGTCTATTCCTCCGAATCTACGGCCGTGCTCAGGGAAGGTACCGCCGCTGTTCGCTTCTCCCTCCCTGTTCGTTCCTTGCGTTGCTTCCCCGATTCCACATGTTTTTCTGATTCGATTTCTTGTTCTTGATTGATAGGGGAAACCAAACCGGTAGTATATATCATCCATAAACTTTGTTAATTAATGTTGTAAATCCATTCTCTGAGGTAGGTAATACTACTACGAGAAAGTAATAAGCTTTTAATTTGCAACTGATCGACTACTGGCCTAGCCTAGCTAGGGTTGCAGCAAATACAGTTGTATTTCTAGTTGAACAGATAATACATTGGCCTTGTGAACTCAACCCATCGGCTGTGGCTGGCAAAATGATTGATTTCCCTACTTTCTTTCTTGCTCAACCAAGACCTACAAGTACGTACTAACTAATTTGCAAATATGCTCTACTTTTCATCTTAATATTAATTAACGAGGTGCCTCCAAATAAGTTCTCAAACAATAAAAGACAAAATAAGTTGGTTCGGATTAAGCACGTGGATCTTGTTGCGGAGTTGTTTGTGTCAATTCTAGCTGAACATTGATATGTTTTACCTGATGATTGGTACAGCTGAAATTGTTCTGTTCAATGGAGGACCTACCGGAGGCTCTGGTGATAGAGACTCTCAAGAGGATCACCAAGACAAGTGATCTCAATTCTCTTTCCCTTGTGTCAAAGGAGCTCTTCAAGATAGAGGGGAATCAGAGAGGTGCTATCCGTGTTGGTTCCGGTCTTTGCACTGCTACAAAAGCACTGGCATCATTGTGCGCCCGGTTCCCAAATCTGCGGAAAGTGGAAATTGATTACTCTGGTTGGATACCTGGACATGGAAAGCAGCTGGACAACGAAGGCCTTCTTGTGTTCTCATCTCGCTGTTCCTCGCTGATTGACCTCACCTTGAGCTTCTGCACACGCATCGATGACTCTGGGCTTGCTTGTTTAGCTCATTGCAAGACATTGGTGTCTCTCAGGCTCAACTCGGCACCAAAAGTAACGTCAGTTGGCCTTTTCTCGGTTGCAGTTGGCTGCACAAATCTATATGCTCTCCACCTTTTGACTGTGAGAAAATCGACAGTGTAGAGTGGCTGGAATACATTGGTAGGGATGGATCGTTGGAAGAGCTTGTAGTGAAGAATTGCAAAGGAATCAATCATCATGACTTCCTAAAGTTTGGTTCAGGATGGATGAAGCTCCAGAAGTTTGAGTTTGAGAGGAAAAGAGGTAAATTTGATCTTCTTGATCCAGGTAATGTTGTCTATGACTCCTCGTATGATGCTCACAGCATGGATATATATGATTTGTGCTGTGAGAGTTTGAAGGATTTAAGGTTGGCGCATATTGAAACTTGGCCAGAAGTAGGACTTCGTCTTGTCCTAGGGAAGTGTAAAGCATTGGAGAAGCTTTGCCTTGAGTATGCTCGTGCCCTAAATGACAATGACATTGCTGCATTAGCTCGGAGCTGCAGCAACCTTAAAAGCATCTCACTTTGGCTCAACCTGCAGCGCTACTCGAGTGATGTCAACTATTGTGAGACCAGGACGTCCTTTACTGATAACAGCCTCTACGCTCTAGCCCTCAACTGTCGTATGCTTCAGATGGTAGACCTCAGCTTTATAGGATGTGATGCTGACTCGCCATCAGAAATAGGATTCACACAAGAGGGTTTTCTGGCGCTCATTAAGTCCTGCCCGATTCGTGCTCTCGTGCTCAACAACGCCAACTTCTTTGATGACAAGGGGATGAAGGCCCTCTCGTCCTCGCCACGTCTGGAGACACTCGAGCTTATATTGTGTCATGCGGTAACTGATGCTGGGATGCGCTTCATTGCGCACACCCCATGCTTGAGTAATCTCACACTTCAGATGTGTCATAACGTTACTGATGCCGGAGTGACTGAACTGGGACGTGCACATAAGTTAGAGTCTTTGGTCATTGAGTATTGTGGTGAGGTCTCTCTGGAAGCTGCACAGGGTGTTGACAAGTCGGTTCACTACTCCAAGGACTGTTCAGATGCCCTTATGAAGACAATTGGTCTTGGTGCCTATTGATATGAAGTGGCCTCCAAAATTTCCAGTATGAATTTGCTGCTGAAGCCATTCAGTTGTTCAGTGTGCATCATTGGACAAGGTTGTGTATCATCCAACCCAGATTCACCTATATGAACTTTTTGTTGCCTTCTACCTTTACTGCAATGATTTTCCTTTATGACAGTCTAGTGACGATCTTTTGACTGGCATCTGCTGAATGAAACACTAGCTAGTTGGGAGAGTTTACTCGTGTAGCTGAATGATTGAGAAAGAGAACGTCCGGGTGGTTACAGTGGCACTACTATACTGATCATAATGCATGTTGCACACGGAGGTTGGAGAGTTCACTTTTATGCGTTGGAGCAGTGAATGATTGTATTGATTAGTTTGGCACTACTATACTGATCATAATGCATGTTGCACACGAATGGGTTGTCGTCGCCGCTTCCAGTTAATCAATTCTTATCTGACCACGCACCAGCCGTCTGGTAGCGGCTACCAACCTTAATCAGTTCGTTTGTGCACGCATGCATCATTTTTTCAAAACTTTACAACAACTATCTCGATCATACTGATTTTAGCTACAGCTACCTAGTTGCCAGAGGTTACTCGTGTAGCTGAATGATTGAACTAAAGGATGCTCAATTTATAACATGCTTTTAAACTTTACAACATGCTTTTAAAATTTACAAAAACTATGAACTATCTCAATCATACTGATTTTAGCTCCAGCTAGCTAGTTGGGAGAGGTTACCCATGTAGCTGAATGATTGAATTGAAGAAAATGCACGGTTGTCGGCCCAAATTTGCATTGCATGCTAATTTATATTCACTTGACAGTGGACCGTTGATCGTAAATTCGTAATGACCATTTGTATTCATTTATACCAAAATTGGCATGCTAGCAACCATCTTGATTTTGCTACCGACTAATCCTACGTGGAGATAACACAGAGAGGTTTGATTCACAGGGTGGAGGGGCGTCGGTGAAGGCGGCAAAGGGACAGGTGACGGAGGCGGGTTGGCAATGGAGGCAGAATGGGGGAGGAAACAGATAAGGAAATTGAATTGAATTGCAGGAAATGCATGGGTGTCGACCAATTCCAATGTACCTGCATGCTCTATTCCTAATCAATGGACTTGTGCTTGTTTGGTAGACACTTGAGAGTGGATCATTAATCGTAATACTCCCGTCAATATTCATTTATACAATATTATCATGGTAGAAACCATCTTAATTTGCTACCAATTAATGATTAATCGTGTATAGAGTGCCAGCTAACAACTAAATAACACAGAGAGATTTGATTCTAGAAGTCTAATTTCCAGTGATAGTTCAGTACCATGATATTCTACTACTATTAAAGTGGAATTAATATGTGGAAATCCGCATCCAAACTTTACGCCATCGTTGAAAGGCAAGTGTAACAAAGTGATATACTTTCGTACAATCAAGATTCATATATTCGAATTGCACATATATCTAGAAATTCATGTGTTCTCGAATATCAAAAATCTTTATTTTTCCTTGTTTTTCATTTCCAAATCCAATAAAGACAATTCAGGATACACGACTTCATATTAAATTGCATGCGAGTTAGATATCTATACAAGATAGATTCAGTTTCTTGAGATACTGGTCATCAACCTATGTACGTGCACGGGCTAGCATTATTTTATGTAATCTATAACCTGTTGTGCCCATTGGCATATAGACCAACTACAGCCTGGAAATTAAGAGAACTATGTGAAACATAAAGTGAAAGTCAAACGAAGAATTTGAATAGACACTCGGAAGGTAAGTAAACTATTTAAAACATAAAATGAAGGGTAAGTGTATTCTTTGAAGAGACGAAATGCATTCATTGGCCCAAAGACCAATTGCAGCCACCAGGAGAAGCAACTAATACAACCAGAAAAATTAGGTGAACTATTTGATGGATGTCTCTTGTGAATAGCTTGCATCTGATTAGGTTGTATAACTATTTGAATATTTTTCCCAACTGTCTGCAAATGACATGTTTCCAAAAAAATGGTCAAACTTTGAAACAGCAGGCAACTAAATGGAGAATTTCTCCTTTGGCAATTTGTTTTTTTATGGCATGAGATTCTTGTTGATGAAGACTTTTTTTCCACAACTGTCTGTGATTGCGCATAGACCGACTGCGACCAGTAAGCAAACTATGAGCGACACATATAGCAAACTTTCCTTCAATAAATATGGAGGTGGTGGGATGCTTTGCTCGTATCATTGTTATTTCTTACCGTACTAAATATTCTACTCATTTAAGATGCCTTGAAAAGATTGGGAGGTATACCTAGATAAGATATGATACCTCTCATTTTTTCCTCTTTAACTAGGCTTCCACAATAGTATTTGGACTTCTCCCTAGGTGTGATGTTTTAAATATGACCAATGTCATTACAACCGGCTTTCCCTAAGTTCTATGACTAAAAATAGTTTATTAAATTATTTTTTATGCTACATGAACTAGGTTGAGAGAAAAATGTAACTTGTTTGGAGATCACAATCGGATTCATAATTTTAGTTGCAATTATATGTTTTTTAGACAAGTGGAATTCACAATAGATCCTATAATGATTGAGGGGCTCTCGAGTCAGTCCTAAAGCTAAACTGTATTTCACTCTCTCTTTACGTTATCTAAGATGGATAGAAGGACAATTCGAGAAGATGGAGATGCATATATTGCGACTATGTTGACTAAACTAACCCTACTAATAATTTCTTCAGCTAATTTGTACTACACAATAGGCATGTTGACTAAACTGACCACATTGATTTTCTCCGATTGTTCACCATATTGTTTTCTCCAAGTGTCCCTACAATTCATTGTAAAATATACTCGTAGCTTGATACTTGCTGTCCTGTTCATTGTATACATGAACTCTTTAAACAACCTTGCTTTATGTTGTGAAAAATATTTAATACTTTCGAACATAATATTTTTTTTGGATTTGTAGGTTATAGTGTTGGTACAACTTGCATGGAAAAGAAAAAATTTCTACGCACACACAAGATCTATCCATGGAGATGCATATCTATGAGAGGGGGAGAGCTTCTACATACCTTGTAGATCGCTAAACGGAAGCGTTTATCAATGCGGTTGATGTAGTCGTACACCTTCACGATCCGTTCCGATCAAGCACTGAACGCAAGACACCTCCGCGTTCAGCAGACGTTCAGCTCGATGACATCCTCGCCTTCTTGATCCAGCAAGAGGGGCAAAGTAGTAGATGAGTTTCGACAGCACAACGACGTGATGACGTTGGTGGTGAAGTTATTTCCGCAGGGCTTCGCCAAGCACAACGGTTTATGGATGGAGGATGAACTAGAAGGAGAGGGGGCGACGGCACACGGCATGGGTTTCGTGTTGTGTCGCACCCCCTCCCCTCCTCTCATATATATAGGTGGAAGGGGGAGGGGAGGCTGCCCTAGGCGCACCCCAAGGGGGCTGACGGCCACCCTAGGGTGCCTTCTCTAGGCGCGCACCCCTTCCTTCTTAGCGTGTGGGGGGAGGAAAGGGGGTTGGGTACCTTATGGCGCCTCCCCTTCCTTCTCCCTTGCGAGGAGAAAAGGCAGGAGGGGGCCAGCCCCTCCTCTTTCCTTCCTTAGGGCCGACAGCCAGGAGGTGGGCGCGACAGCCCCCTTGTGGGCTGGTGTGCTCCCTCCTTTTGGCCCGTTAGGCCCAATAACTCCCGTGGCCTTTCGGAACGCCTTCCGGTGATCCAATAATTATCCGGTGCATTCTGAAACTCTTCTGGAGACCAAATATTATCATCCTATATATCAATCTTTACCCCAGGACCATTCCGGAGCTCCTCGTCATGTCTGTGATCTCATTCGGGACTCCGAACAACATTCGGTCACTAACATACATAACTCATATAGTACTATATCGTCAAGGAAAGTTAAGCGTGCGGACCCTACTGGTTCGAGAATGATGTAGACACATGACCGAGATGCTTCTCCGGTAAATAACCAATAGCGGGACCTATATGCCCATATTGGTTCCTACATATTCTACGAAGACTTTATCGGTCGAACCTTTATGACAACATACATAGTTTCCTTCGTCTGTCAGTATGTTACTTGCCCGAGATTCGATCGTCGGTATCTTCATACCTAGTCCAATCTCGTCACCGGCAAGTCTCTTTACTCATTCTGTAATACATCATCTTGTAAATAACTCCTTAGTCACTTTGCTTGCAATCTTCTTTGTGATGATGTATTACCGAGAGGGCCCCGAGATATCTCTCCGTCCTACAGAGTGACAAATCTGAATTTTGATTCGTGCCCACTCAACAAACACCTTCGGAGATACTTGTAGAGCACCTTTATGATCACCCAGTTATGAACTGACGTTTGATAGCATACAAGGTATTCCTCCGGTATCCGGGAGTTGCATGATCTCATGGTCAAAGGAATATGTATTTGACATTAAGAAAGCAGTAGCAATAAACTGAACGATCATATGCTAAGCTAATGGATGGGTCTTGTCCATCACATTATTCTACTAATGATGTGATCCCGTTAGCAAATGACAACTCATGTATATGGTTAGGCAACCTTAACCATCTTTGATCAACGAGCTAGTCTAGTAGACGCTCACTAGGGACACGGTATTTGTTTATGTATCCTATCATGTATTTAATTTTCTAGTCAATACAATTCTAGTATGAATAATATTCCTTTATCATGAACAAGGAAATATGATAATAACCTATTTATTATTGCCTCTAGGGCATATTTTCAACAGTCTCCCACTTGCACTAGAGTCAATAATCTAGTTCACGTTGCCATGTGATTAACACCCAATGAGTTCTAAGATGTGATCATATTTTGCTTGTGAGAGAGGTTTTAGTCAATGGGTCTGCAACATTCAGATCTGTGCATACTTTACAAATATCTATGTCTACAATGCTCTGCATGGGGGTACTTTAGCTAATTTCTCCTATATTTAATATGTATCCAGATTGAGACTCAGAGTCATCCGGATAGG